AAAGTGGGGCTGGGGAGATAGCTCAGTAGAGTAAGTGCTAACCTGGCAAACACAAGGGCCTGAGTTCAATCCCTGGGACCATCAAATAAATAAATGTGATTTCTCAAGGTTTTCATGTATTTTTCATGTTTATAATACATGTAGCATATGAAATATATGTGTTAAATAAAAGTTTGTGTTTTCAGTTAGGTTTTAAGTCAACAGAAAACTTTAAGTTTCTGGGCAGTCGGAAGTTATACACAGATTTCGGTTTGATGCTTACCACCCCTGCGTCGTTCAAGGGTTAACTATAGTTTGAACTCCCCAAAGAGAGAATGGGACAGATGTAAATTCTGAAGGGCCAATAACAGAATTTTCCAAAACTGACAAAAGAGTCTCGGATTGATGAAACACTGCATCATAAGCAAGATAATACAAAAGTGCCATCCTAGCTACATGATTATAAAATCAGATACAGAATCAGAGAAGATCACACAAAAAAATGATGCTCAGCACAAATTATCTTTAAAGGAGCAGCAGTAAGACAACTGGATTCTCAACAGAAACGAATGCAGCCAGCAGACGGTGGAATAGCTTCAGAGTGCTGAAAAAGCCGTCAGCATTTAATTCTGTGCCCAGTAAAATATCTGTCAGGAAGGGATGCCGAGTAAGTACATTTTCACATGAAAAGATACTGATAAAACAATCACTGGAGAAATTAATATAAAACTTCCAAAAGGGTCTTCCTTAAAAAGTAGAGAAATAACCCATGGTGAGAGAAAGGATAAATGTGGGAGAAAGCAAACGGAGCATCAAGTGTTGTAAAACAAAAATGTCTTTAGAATGCCTGCTCAGCATTAAAGTAAAACCTGGCAATATATTGAACTTAAGGGAATGAAGGCAAATGGAGTTCAAACAGATTTAGGTTCTAACATTGCACCAAGAAAACAAAATACTAATTTATATTATGGTTTGGCAATTCCAGCATCCACTGTATAATTTCCTGGATGGATACTAATTGTAAAGAAAAAAAATCATTGCTGCCAGGGTAAAGGGGTGGAAAACTAGAATAATGAAAAGTAATCCAAAGAAAGCAAGAAAGAAAAGCAGGGTAAATATTGAAATAGATAAACTCAAATATATTAATTATGTTACATTTTAATATACTCACTGTAATTATAAGGTGGTAATATATCAGAGGAAATTAAATTTTTAAAATCCCAACTATATAGTTCTAAGCAGAGTCAGAAAATGTAAGAATATAGAATGAATGAAAATAAAAGAATACAAAATAGATATACTATGCAAATGCTGACCGAAAGAAGGTTGGTAATATGAGACATACTACATTTAATGCAAAGCAGATTATTAGCGCTGAAAGAGATATTGCATAATAAAAATTCAGTTTGCCCAAAAGATGAGACAATTTTTAGTTTGTAAGCACACAATAACTAAATCTCAGAAAAATGTGATAGCACAGAACGGTAAAGCAGACATATCCCCAGTGAGAGTAGGAAGTATGAGCAGATTGCTCACAGAAACTGAACTTTCAACTACAGAATCATTAGTGAGACTATAAAATGTGAACTATACCATTTGATAAGTCAAGTCTATTTAGGCACATGTATAGGGCACTACTGTCCAATATCTTCATAATACACATTCTTTTTTTTTTTTCTTTTTTCCGATTTATTTGGTACAAGGTCTACTACACAGCTGGACTCAGTGATCCTCCTGTCTCAGCCTGCTCATCGCTGGGAACACAGGAGTGACCCACCATGTCTGGTTTCAGTAGCCAGTACAGTGTGGGGCCAACAAAGCATACGGTGCCAGGGTTCAAACCTGAGTCCAGTCTCCCCAGTCCCACATTCTTTTTAATTGCATGTAAAACATTAAAAAATTGGCCAATTGGAAAAAAAAAAAAAAAAAAAAAGCAACTCTTAAACCAGGTGTGGTGGCTCACCCCTATAATCCCAGCACTCAGGAGACTGAGACAGGATCATTGCAAGTTTGAGACCAGCCTGTGCTACAAAGTGAGCTCAAGGCCAGCCTGAACTGCATAGCATGACCCTGTCTCCAAAGGACAAAAAAAACAGACAAACGAAAAAGCAACTCTTAGACTTTTTAAATGGTTGAAATTATTCAGATTATCAAAATTATGTTAGAAGGGCCAGAGAGGTAGCTCATAAGGACGTGCCTGACAAGCTCAAGGTTCTGAGTTTGATCCCCAGTACCAAAAAAAAGAAAATTGTGTTAGATATCAGTAATATAACAATTACCAAAAAAACCCACAAGTATTTCTAATTTTAAGTAGTCTCTAGTACTAAATATTATTCATAAGTCAAAGAGTTCACAATAAAAATTAGAAAATATTTTGAACTGATTAAAAATTAAAAAAGGAACTTGTGGGCTACACTGTAGGGCCATTCCTAGAGGACAATCTTGAGAGCTTGGGGTTCTATCAGGGGAAGAAATGAGCCTGTATGGTGGGTGAGGGTTGGGAGTGGATCCTGTTCCACAGAGTGTCCAGTTTCTGAAGGGGCACATGCATCAAGCGGGGAGGGAGGAAGATGACACCACCTAGCCAGGTAGGTCAGGCAGCTCTACCCTGATGGTCTATAGGGTGACAGATGTCACAGCCAACTCTCCCTCACATCCACATATATATATGTAGTCTTAGGTATGTGTGTTTACAAATAGAAAGTCTAAGGTAATCCATGACACGCATGAATTTACTGAAGAGATTAGAAAAAGGATAGCAAACTAAAGTCCAAATTATAAAATAAATGCAGCAAGAAAAACTTGGGCAAGAAGCAGCCGAAGAGCTAAATATCTCACCCTAGTAGCTTTGCATACTGAAACTAGCTTGAAGATTACAACTTTCAAGAGAGCTTGAACAATTTAGCAAGACCGTCCCTAAACAAAAGCCAAGGAGTAGGCTTGGAGTTGGCACATTGTTCAGTGGTAGCTTGCCTGACCTGCACAAGACACTGGGTTTGGTCCCCAAGACTCCAAAGAAATGATGATGATAATGGGGCCAGGGCTCAGTGGTACAGCACCTGCCTGGCAAGTATGAAGTCCTGAGTTCAATTCCTGATACCAAAATAATAAGAATAATAAAATAAAAATAATCTATAAGTAACCCTTGTGTTGCATGAGTGCAGAGCTATAAAAGGTCATAAAGGTCGAATCTCTACAAAGTAATCTTAATAATCAATGGGACAGGGTTATTTCTGTGATTTAGCTCTAACAATTTTTGTCAAAACAGTAAAAATTGTATTACTGAAGTTTATAACTTTTTAAAAAAGGAAATACTTTAATTTCTTACATTTCTAATATCTTAAATAATAATGTGCTAAATAAAAGTTAATTTTATTTTCCAATTTCATTTTATTGTCAATTTAAAATTATTCAAATTGATAGATTCATAATTCAGGAAAATTAGGAATTATATCATTATGAAAATACTTAAAAACTTTATGATACAGTGAGTTTTGTTGTATTTTGCTTTGTTTTGTGGTGCTGGGGATTGAACACAGAGCCTAACACGTACACAAGGGCTCTATCGCTGAGCTACATTCCCAGCCCTTATATGTCTTAATAAAATAACAGAAAGGTAGATCATGACATATTGGCAATATAATGTAGTAATTTGTCTGGTTTTTGCAGAACGTAAAAATTGTGCTAAGAAATATATCATAGTATTAAATGGATTTTTTTCTCTATGAGTGGAAAGTCTTTTCTAAAATCTTGCTGTATTTTTATATTCGTTATTTTTCTCTATTAAATGTAACTGTATGGGAAAAACAAATATTTTAAAGATTATAAGGATTATGAGCTCAATATTTAAACATCAAAACATCACTGATAGTTCTCTATTTTTAATTAGAAAATAATTAGCAAGATCTTTTCCTTTGAAAGTAACTTTTATTGTTTCTAAATTATTTTCTTAGATTTATTACATTTGGTGCATTTTATTTTTGATAAGTGTATGTATTCTAAAAATTAGTATTGAAGTTTTCTACTTTGAAAGGAGATTTGTGGTATCAGTAGATAATTTCACTCTAAATGCTTTAGGTATATGGATATAATTTTCTTTAAAATTTTTCACCTTGAAGTAGGTTTTCTGTAAGTAATATTTTTTGCTTATATTAGATACATGTATTAAAGTCTTGTTTGTATTGAAGGACTTTTTTCCTTTAGATTACTGTCATTTAAATTAAAACAATTTTAAGTTATATCTTCTGTGCTTTTAAAAAGGTAGATTGATTGATTGATTGATTGATTGATTGATTGATTGATTGACTTAAAGGTTGGAATATCTGTAAAGATTTTCAGCCATGTGTGGTGGTGCATGCCTGTGATTCCAGTACAAGGGAGGCTGAGGCAAGAGGATCGCTGAGAGTTTGATGCCATCCTAGACTGCAAAGTGGATTCAAAGCCAGGCTAAAATAAATGTACAGTGAGACCCTGTCTCAAAAACACAAACAAAAAAAGCTTTTTCAGAATTATAGTCAAGATATGTGGAGATGTGCTACAGAAAAGTTTCTTATAGTCTTGGGTTTATAACCTGCAATCATTTTATTCTACTCATTTATGACTGAATCTACCTAAGAATTCAAATGGATCTTAGGAAACGTGGTAGAAAAAGTAGCACATTCTACATAAATTATCATTTTTGTTTAATTGACTGAGTGAAACTAGCATTTTAAGGTTTTTTCTGAATACCTTACTCTGAGCTATAACATCTAAATTTTACCTTTTGCAGAAATTAAAATTTCTGTAAGACATACTGAACTATACTTAAATTAATTATTATCAATTTAATGCATTTAAAATTGTTTACCTTTGTGTTTGAATAACAGTGCGTAAGGGTGATTAAACTCTTCTATTTTTTCCCTGAAGTCTATTTAATAAGATTTTTATGTAAAGACTTTTATACTATCACTATTTAATTGACCCCCAAGCAGAGATTCCTGTTACTAACATGACTTCCAATTCTTCAATGGTTTGTCCCAAAGGCTGCACAGTGAGTTAAAAGATGCTGTGGAGAAACAGTTGGACGCCCTTCCTTTCAGCGCAGAGATAGGAAATGATACATTTACAGATGATGAGAGAGTCAGGAATCTTCAAGAACAACTGCAACTAGCCAATCAAGTAAGTGACATATTTTTTACATTATATACTTGTCTTAGTTGTATTTCTCATTGCTGAGACAAAATACCCAGCATCCAAAGTTAAAGGAAGAAAAGCTTACGTAGGCTCTCAATTCATAGAGGTTTCCGTCCATAATCAGCTGGCTCCAAGACAGAGTGGCTTCGCAGAGGAGAGCAATTCATCGTGGGCAGAAGACAGCAAAAGCAACAAGTGAAGGATTATGGGAGAGGACAAGACTCATGTTACCCACACCCTCTTTTTTTAATCCACACTGCTGGATTAACATGATGCCAGTCCACTCTGTGTCTGATCTAGCAATCACCCACACAAGCCCAGCATACTTAATCCCAACATTGAATAATGAGTCAGTCACAACCTCTAGTTTGAGCCACCTCTGACAAAGTCCCATTTAAAAGTGCATGAGGCTTTGGGGGACATCTAGACACAAACCGTAACAATACTGAACTTCCGTCTTTTTTTAAAAAAAAAATCTATATTTGTCATTATATATGAATGACAACAGAATAATAAAATTGTCACCAATTGGTTTTCTATAATGTACAAAAATTATAAATAGAACCCATCAAAATACCCCCAATATTATATAGTTAACAAATATACTTTTTAATTGAATTGTAAAACTTCTAATTTTCTTTCTATAAGAAGGTTTTACTGTCAAAAAAATATTTAAAGGAAAAAATCATCAGTTATCCCACTTCATTTAAACTTTTTAATTTCTTTCTGTATTTTCTTCTGATTTTTCATTTTGAAAGATTATGGTATGATATTTCTCTAAAATTACACTTCTAGCAATACACTTCTACTCCTGTTCTTCTTCCCTCAAGTGAGTGAAATCCTTGAGAAGGTACTGTATGTTCTGTATATCCTGGTTTCCAACACTGATTTTTGTGTATTCAAAGGAGAATTTCGCTTTACTACCCTATCTTGTGCAGATTTGAGTCTGCAGTCTACTTTCTAATTGTGAGTGTAGGAAATAAAATCTTTTCATGCTTTAGGTACTTCATTTGCAAATGGGGTTAGATATTATGAGTTACTTACCATTTTGATTTTATAATTATCAGTGAAGAGTTGTATTTACTTGGAACTTGGGTTTAGAATTCTTTACTTGATACATTAGGTAAATCAGAGAGGATGCTGGGCACAGCGACAAAGGCCTGTAACCCCATAGCATTAAAGAAAAAACTGGGCATGTAGCTAAGTGCCAAGACCTAGTTTCCATCACCAAAACTGCAAAATAAAAATCAAACAACCCACTGTATTTATCTTGGTAAGATCTATTTACATTGAATTTCTTGAAGTATATGAATGGAAATAAATAAAAATTTAAATTTTATTACTAGATAGTAAAGTATGACTCAAAAGGTGTGGCAGAATGTGCATTTCTTATTCCTTCCTAAAATTTTGAGAGATCTATAAAAAAACAAGGTCAGATGTTACTCTGCTTATACATACCTTTTTTTGTATTAATTGTATCTTAAGGTCTGATAAAATTTGTAAAGTTACATTGTTACTCATTTTGGGGTTGAAGGACCTTTATGTGATGTATGAAAACTAGATGAATCCAACTAGATTGATAAAAGCTAAATTAAATACAGCTTAAAGTTGATATTGAGAAAAAAGGGAATTTTCTATATATGATTTTTGTCAAAATACCATTGACCTTCCATATGGTAACATGTCTGTGGGTCAAACCAACTGTAGATCCAAAGCACATGGGGGAAAATTGCATCTCTACTGGACGCGTGAAGACCTTGTCATTATTCCCTAAACAATGAACTATGAGAACTATTTATATAGCATTTATATTGTGTCAGTACTAAGCATAATCTACAGATGGTTGGTTTCAAGTATATAGTGCTTGACTGTTGATTAAAATATCTTCGTTCCACAGATATTTATTAAACACTATTATATGGTAGACCTTGTGCTAAACATTGGTGATGTAGTGGTTGGTTCTGGGTCTCATTGGTGATGTAGTGTTGGCTCTGGGTCTCAAAGAACATAGGGGCTTTTGGAAGAAGTATAACAAGGTGATGGAGTAGTGAATTCTGGTGTATTTCTTCTTTGGTCTTCATTTTACTTTTAAGCTCCCAGATCTTAGAAAACTGCTTTGTGCCCGCATTCCTTATTTCCATATTATAATGAAAATAATTTTTAACTTATGAAGTTCTTATGGTAATTCAGTTACAAATCCTCACAAAGCATTCGGTATAGTGCTGAGCACATATGTAGAGTTAATGTATTTGTTGTATTTTTGTCATCATCATTGTCACCATTACTAAACAATGAGAGGCAGCAAGTGTATATTATTAAGTCCCTAACTTAATTTAGTTTTGAATATTTGTTCTGTTATAATAGTGTGATTTGTGAAAAGCTTTCCTGGGGCCGGAGAGATGGCTCAGTGGAATAATCGCTTGCCTGGCAAGCACAAGGGCCTGAGTTCAATCCCT